GGAGGTCCGTAGCTGATTTAGGCTTGAAATGCCGAAAGTTAGATTTTTGAGGTTTCCGGTCCGATTGTGAGATTTTGATCCGAGGGTCGGAATGGAATTTCGGAAGTTGGAGTAGCTCCGTAGTGTTTAATGTGACGTGCGTGCAAAGTTTCAGGTCATTCGGACGAAGTTTGGTAGACTTTTTGATCGAAAATGTGTTTTTAGAGTTTTTTGAAATTCTTAAGGTTAAATCCGATGAAAAATAGGTGATTTGAACGTTTCGAAGGTTGGAACAAGTTTGAATGATGTTATGGGATATGTTCGTAGGTTTGGTTGAGGTCCCGGGGGCCTAGGGTGTGTTTTGGATGCTCAACGAGTCATTTTTAGAACTTATTGAATTGCAGAAAACTGTCAGCTGGTATCCTTCTTCGCGTTCGCGTTCACGTCTTCTCCTCCGCGTTCGCGAAGAGCAATCTTGGAGGAGGAACTTGTTGTTCTTCGCGTTCGCGTTAAGCCTCCCGCGTTCGCGATGGTTTTCCTTTTTCCTTCTTCGCGTTCACACCCAACCCCTCACATTCGCATAGTAGAATTTGGCGCTGAGGGGCTGTGGCTATTTTCTTCTCCGCATTCGCGACCCAGCCTCCGCGTTCGCGAAAGCCCCTGCTCTTTACCCTCCGCGTTCGCGACCCTTATCTCGCATTCACGATGGCCTTTTTCTTGGAAGCTTCGGTTTTCTTCGCGAACGTGATTGTCCTTCCGCGTTCGCGATGCACAAATTACCTGGGCAGATTATTAAAAGTACCAAATCGAGGGTTTAAGCTTATTTTCAAAATTCCAAATTTGGGAGCTCGGGAGGGGCGATTTTTGAAGACTTTTGCACCTGGGAAACTTGGGTAAGTGATCTCTATCCAACTTAGATCAATTTCCATGATTCCTAACTTGAATCTAGCCCTTAAATTTCGAATTAGTTGGAAAAATTTGGGAAAAATTGGATAAACTTCATAGACCGAATTATTGGGTTTTGATTGGGTTGTTGACATCCGATTTGAGAGATTTTTATAAGAATAGACTCGTGTGAGTGTGTGAATTCTAAAAAGTATAAATTTCACCCGATTCCGAGATGTGGGCCCTAGGGGCGTTTTGGTCATTTTACATAATTTCGCGCATTAGCTTAGAATTTAAACTTCTTGAAGTATTATTACATTATGATCTGAAATTGAATAGATTTGGGCCATTTGGAGTCAAATACTCGTGGCAAGAACGTGGTTTCTAGTTGATTTTGAGATGATTCGAGGTAAGTGGCTTGTATAACCTTGTGTGGGGGACCTTCCCCTTAGGATTGGTATATTTGATAATTGAATTGACTTGTGCGTGAGGTGACGAGCGCGTACTTGTGCAAATTGTTGAAAATCCGATTTTCTTAAAGTATTCCTTAGCATGTTTCTTTTCCTGCTTTGTTGTATTTACAAACTTAGCCTGTTGTTAGTTAGAAGAGCATGTTTAGTTGACTTAAATTGCCTATTTGCTTAAATTGCCTTGAGTGCATTACGTGAAGTATGTTAGGCTAGAACTACTTATCGCCTTGCTATGAAATTCCATCTCTGAATATCTTCTTGCGGTTGCTGTGTATTTACATTGGGACTACGGATGTGGGATTCTGGTCGCTCCCCCCTCCCCCCTTGTTTATTTACTTTGGGACTACGGGTTATATTCCCGGTAGATCCCCCTGCACAGTTATATGGAACTACGGGAATGCACCCGGTAGATTCCCCCAGTACTGGGTATTTACATTTGGGACTACGGATCGAGATTCCGGTAGATCCCCGCGCATTAATAGTTGGACTACGGGATGGTATCCCAGGAGATCCACTAGACAGTTATAAAAGGGACTACAGGACGGTATCCTAGGAGATCCTCGTTGCTACTATTGGTATTGAGCTATTCTTATTTTCGTGTTTACTCTGTTCATTGTATATTTGTTGTTGCCTTGTATAACCTGTCTTATTCTCATTTACACTGCTTACTCTACACTGTTAAATCTTATATTTATTTAACCTCAGTAGGGCCCTGACCTTCCTCGTCACTACCCGACCGAGGTTAGTCTTGACACTTACTGAGTACTATTTTGGTGTACTCATGCCCTTTCTGCGCCTGTTTTTCATGTGCAGATCCAAGTACTTCTGCACAGGCTTACCATCCTTGAGGCAGGGAGAGCTTTTGGAGACTTCCAGGGACATCTGCCGCGTCCGCAGACCGAAGAGTCTGCATATTTATTCTATCTTATAGTATTAGCCCTTCTATCATACTGTTGATGTATACATTCCGGAGTTAGAGCATTTTACTATATTCCTTTCAGCTTGTGTTCCCGTGAGTTTCCGGGTTTTGGGATAGTGATGTAGAAGTTTGAGATATTGTGCTGTATATACCGAGCGGCATTCTATATACCGTTCCTTTTAGTTATTCTTAGTTTTAGATTATATTTCTGCCAGTTTCGATTTGTTTTCCGCACTTATTAGGCTTACCTAGTCGTAGAGACTAGGTGCCGTCACGACAGTTCACGGAGGGCGAACTGGGGTCCTGACAAGTTGGTATTATAGCTCTAGGTTCGTAGGAGTCACGGAACACATGCCGGTTTATTAGAGTCTCGCTGATCGGTACGGAGACGTCTGTACTTATCTACGAGAGGCTATGTAGCTGTTAGGAAAAAAATTCTACTTCATTGATTTCCTTGTCGTGCGATATTTTGACATCACAATTCTAAACTTCTGTCTTCTATTTTCTCACAGATGGTGAGGACACGTGCTACTCGAGATGATCAGGCACCCGTGCCTCCTACTGCAGCCGTTAGAGGCAGGGGCCGGGCTAGAGGTCGAGGACGCGCACGTGGTGCAGCCACAGCACCTGCGTGAGCTGCCGCCAAGGTACCACCAGCAGTTTCAACCGGAGTCCAGGAACCTGATACGCCTACTACTGTTACCATTAATCCAGCTCTTCAGGAGACTCTGGCACAGTTCATGAGCATGTACACCACTTTGGCTCAGGCAGGGTTGGTTCCCCTCGGTGTAGCCACATCCCAGGCTGGGGGAGGAGCACAGACTCCCGCCACCCGCACTCCTGAGCAGCGAGTACCTGTTGAGTAGGTTCCCGAGGTTATTCCTATACCGCCTGCAGTGCCAATTCAGCCCAAGGACAGGGCATCAGCTTCCGAGGATGAGCAGTTGAGGCTTGAGAGGTTCAAGAAGTACAAGCCTCCTGTATTCAGTGGTATAACATCGGAGGATGCTTTTGTGATTTCTTGATGAGTGTTACCGCATTCTCCGTACCATGGGTATTTCAGGATCCAGCGTAGTTTCTTTCACTACCTTCCAGCTTCGAGGGGCCGCCTATGAGTGGTGGCGCACCTATGAGTTAGACAGTCCAGATGAGGCTGCCTCACTGACTTGGGCTCAGTTTTCAGATCTGTCCCTAAGGGAGTATGTTCCTCAGAGCCTCAGGGACACATGGCGCATAGAGTTAGAGCATTTGCGCCAGGGTACTATGACCGTTTCAGAGTATGTATCCGTTACACCAGTTTGGCTAGGCATGCACCAGCCTTGGTTTCTACTATCCACGAGAGGGTTCTCCAGTTTATTGAGGGCCTTATTCCCAGCATCAGATCTAGCATGACTCGTGAGTTGGAGATGGATATTTCTTATCATCAGGTGGTGAGCATTTCTAGGAGGATTGAGGGTATGCATGCTAGGGAGAGAGAGGAGAGGGGGGCCAAGATCTCGAGAGTCGAGCCATTATTCCGGTGCCCGTACCCCAGCTGCAGGTTGTCATGGTAGGGGTTATATGAGTCGCCTTGTTCATTCAGCTCTTCCAGTAGCCAGTAGTGCTCCAGCTCCTCCTAGATCCCAGGAGCCTTATTACGCACCTCCGGTTTCTAGCGCGCCTCCTTCGCGTGGTGCTTTCCGAGGTCAGTCCAGCAGACCTAGCCCGAGCCAGTCACAGCCACCACGTCCTCCCAGAGCTTGTTTTGACTGTGGTGATACACGCCATATGGTGAGGGATTGCCCCATACTTGGGAGGGGTGCTACCCCCACGGACTTCTCATCCACAACGTGCCCCGTAGAGTTCTCAAGCCATGGTTCCAGCTCCAGTTGCTACCCCACCTGCTCAACCGTCTAAAGGTGGAGGTCGGGGAGGTAGAGGTCGCCCTCGAGGGGGAGGCCAGGCCAGATACTATGCCATGCCTGCCCGTATAGAGTCTATTGCCTCCGATTCTGTCATCACAGGTATTATATTGGTTTGCCACTGATATGCATTGCTTCTACTCGATCCAGGCTCGACTTACTCTTATGTGTCTTTCTTATTTTGCTCCGCATTTGGGTGTATCTCCGGATTCTTTGAGTTCTCCTATTTATGTTTCTACTCATGTGGGAGATTCACTTGTTGTGGACCGTATTTATCGGTCGTGTTTGGTTGCTCTCCGTGGTTCTGAGACCAGAGCCGATTTGGTTTTACTCAACATGGTTAATTTCGATATTATCCTGGGCATGGACTGGTTGTCGCCCCATTATGCTATTCTTGATTGTCACGCCAAAACCGTGACGCTGGCTATGCTAGGTATACCGCGTGTTGAGTGGAGGGGTACCTTAGATCATACTCCCAGTAGAGTTATTTCCTTCCTTAAGGCTTAACGTATGGTTGAGAAGGGGTGTGATGCGTATTTAGCTTATGTGAGGGATGTCAGTATTAATACCCCTTCAGTTGATTCAGTCCCAGTAGTGCGGGATTATCCCGATGTGTTTCCAGCTGACCTTCCAGGCGTGCCTCCTGATAGAGATATTAATTTTGGCATTGATTTATTGTTGGGCACTCATCCCATTTCTATTCCTCCGTATCGTATGGCTCCTCCTAAGTTGAAGGAGTTGAAGGATCAGTTACAGGAACTGCTTGATAAGGGTTTTATTCGGCCCAGTGTTTCACCTTGGGGTGCTCCTGTCTTGTTTGTGAAGAAAAATGATGGTTCTATGCGTATGTGTATTGACTATCGCCAGTTGAACAAGGTTACAGTGAAGAACCGTTATCCTTTGCCTCGTATTGATGATCTATTTGACCAGTTTCAAAGCGCACGGGTGTTTTCTAAGATTGATTTGCGCTCAGGTTACCATCAGTTGAATATTCGGGAGCCAGATATCCTGAAGACTGCTTTCAGGACTCAGTATGGCCATTACGAGTTTCTTGTTATGTCATTTGGGCTGACCAATGCCCCAGCAGCTTTTATGCATTTGATGCATAGTGTATTCCGGCCATATCTTGACTCTTTTGTCATTGTCTTTATTGATGACATTCTGGTATATTCCCAGAGTCGGGAAGATCATGAGCAGCATCTGAGGACAGTACTTCAGACTCTGAGGGAAAAGAAGTTATATGCAAAGTTTTCAAAATGTGAGTTCTGGTTGGATTCTGTGGTGTTCTTAGGCCACCTGGTATCGAGTGAGGGTATTCGGGTGGATCCAAAGAAGGTAGAGGCAGTGCAGAGTTGCCCAGACTATCCTCAGCTATAGAGATCTGCAGTTTCCTTGGTTTGGCGGGTTACTACCGTCGTTTTGTGGAGGGGTTTTCATCGATTGCAGCCCCTATGACTATACTGACCCAGAAGGGTACTCTGTTCCAGTGTGTGGAAGAGTGTGAGGCGAGCTTTCAGAAGCTCAAGACAGCTTTGACTACGGCCCCAGTTTTGATATTGCCTACAGGTTCAGGGTCCTATACTATCTATTGTGATGCCTCGAGAGTTGGCCTTGGAACGGTATTAATGCAGGACGGTAGGGTGATTGCCAACACGTCCAGACAGTTGAAGATACATGAGAAGAATTATCCTGTCCATGATCTTGAGTTAGCTGCCACTGTTCACGCCCAGAAGATTTGGCGCCATTATCTATACGGTGTGCCCTGTGAGATTTACACTGACCATCAGAGCTTGCAGCATTTGTTCAAGAAAATGGATCTAAATTTGCGCCAGAAGAGGTGGTAAGAGTTGCTGAAGGATTATGACATCACTATTTTATATCACCCGGGCAAGGCCAATATAGTGGCTGATGCCTTGAGTCGCCGGGCGGAGAGTTTGGGGAGTTTGGGGAGTTTGTCATATTTACCAGCATCGGAGAGGCCTATAGCAATGGATGTTCAGGACTTGGCCAGCCAGTTTGTGAGATTGGATCTTTCGGAGCCTAGTCGGGTTCTAGATTGCGTGGTTTCTCGGTCTTCCTTATTTGATCGTATCAGGGAGCGACATTATGATGACCCTCATTTGCTTGTCCTTAAGGACAAATTTTAGCACGGTGATGCTCGAGATGTGACCATTGGCGAGGACGGAGTATTGAGGATGCAGGGTCGGGTTTGTATACCCAATGTTGATGGGATTCGGGAGCTGATTCTAGAGGAGGCTCACGATTCGCGGTATTCCATTCATCCGGGTGCCGCGAAGATGTATCAGGACTTGAGGCATCACGATTGGTGGAGGCGAATGAAGAAAGATATAGTCGGGTTTGTAGCTCGGTGCCTCAATTGTCAGCAGGTGAAGTATGAGCACCAGAGACCGGGTGGATTGCTTCAGCAGATAGAGATTCCGGAGTGGAAGTGGGAGCGTATCACCATGGATTTTCTATCTGGACTCCCATGGACTTTGAAGAAGTTTGATGCCATTTGGGTTATTGTGGATCGACTGACCAAGTCCGCTCATTTTATTCCAGTGTGTACCACTTATTCTTCGAAGCGGTTGGCGGAGATTTATATCCGGGAGATTGTCGGTGTGCATGGTATTCCAGTTTCTATCATTTCAGACAGAGGTACTAAGTTCACATCGTGGTTTTGGAGAGCCGTTCAGCAGGAGTTATGTGACTAGTGGAATAAATAAATATTGTTGGTATTCTTTGTAGATGTTCTTCTAACAACCATTTACCTGCTCTGCTTATCGATTCCACTAGATAACCTAGGTTACTTCTGCTCGATAAATGCATTAAGACGTCTCATTATTTTGAACTTATCCATGTGGGCACTTTGAGGTCTTGTTTTATACCAACTCGTAATGGTTTTAAAATACTTTCTCGCCATTGTTATCGATCTTCTAGGGCTACCTGGGCTTGTCTCGTGGGTTCCAAAAGTAATTATTTCCCCTAAGGTCAAGCTTATATTGCCATGGTTTCAAAGCAAAGTGCATCCCTTTTTTTTCCAAAGTCTTAAATGGGTCGGATTGGATGGGTTACGTGGCTTTCTTCTCACTCAACTTCTAGAATAATTGACTATATCATTGTCATGTGAGGGGAGTTTTGCTACCCTTGGTATTCCACTTTCTTTGGTGGATAAGAGTGTCATTTGTGTTTCTCCCCGGAGCATCATGTTAACCATTAGAATGCCTCTAACCAGTACATGATTTCATCCCAACATTTAGATGTCCGAGCTATGTGGTTTTACTCGTGAAAGGGGTGAGATTATATGCCTTCAGATTTTTGCACATATCATGAGCATATTGATTTGGAAGACAAGTTTTCATACCTTTAGTTCTCTCATATAGGGTCAATTGTCAGGGAGGGTTAAGCTGTTTGAGTTATGATAATCTCATAAGTATTTTAACTTTATTTTCATCCTCATGGGCTTACGGCATAGATTCCTTGTGTCAGCCAACGTCAGGAGTGTAATTCCACTTCATGTATTTTGAATCCCATAACGCATTCAAGGTACCAGAGCATGAATTGATTTTCCCTTCACCCTAGGAAATGACTGGGTTATGTACTTGAATATTCCACCTTAATGATTCCTATTACCAATGTACTACTTACCCCTATGCCTCATTTGTGTAATAATTGACGTCGTCACAGTGATTAACCATGTCACCATTGCTAGCTGTAACTTTCATGTCCCTTAGCATATAACCTCAGAAAGTACTCTACTCAGCGCATTAATGGATTCCTGAATAACTCCAGCCTGATCTTGAACTCTGTTGTTCCTCATTGTATTAGATCCATTGGGTATTGTAAGTTCAGACGAGTCAAAGATGAAGCTTCACAATGTGATCACATGTATATTTGATAGGTAATTTTATGGTCAGTTTATGATAGCACATCTTAGAGTAATTGTTGAAGGTCATCAAGGGTTTAGTGTGCGTGTTCGCCTAGAGATTTAGAGTTTGGAGGGTGAGCAGGCTATTCTCAATATTTTCCCCTGAAGATGTTATGTGAGTTGATAATAAAGGTTGCATAAGTGTATTCCATATTAGGCTGCACTAGGAGTATGAAGTGTCCCCATAGTTGTTCGCCATATATTTTATGGATTCACATGTCTATGTCTAAGAAAGTAGGTGGATATCGATTGTGTATCATTCCGGTGGAAATTATTGAAGGTGAAGTTAGTGGATAGTTAACTTATGCGAAATATCTACTTGTTATCCTTGTTAAGTAAGTATAGGGGTCAAAATTGCTCCGGTGAATGTGTTCTGGCAAAGTCTATAGATATAAGAGGCCATTGAAGGCCGAGAGTGTTGTGGAAATAAAATATTTTCTCTTGATTGCATAGCAGTTGGTTTTGATTTGAAAGGTACCTTCTAGGTGATGTGATTTAAAAATGTGCAGTCTATGCCCAAGTATCATCGTGATAAAGTAGTGTTTGTAATGCTGAGGTTCTTGTCATTGATATATAAATATTGTGGTGCATTATCGAGTTGAGGAAGCCACATGGGAAGCGGAAGATGAAATGAAAGAAAAATATCCCCATATGTTTGAACAAGTTTAGTAGTGATCGTGCGAACTTGTATCTCTAAGCAAACTGATTTTGTGTTCCATTTGGTGCAAAGACACCCCATATCTCCCCTAAATGCTTTACTATTGTAACTCCTCAAGTTGTGAAAGAATTGTATGTGTTATGATTATTTGAGTCATGTGCAAATCCTTTTTGGTAAATGAAAGTTTTGTAAGAACTCTTGTGATAAGTGAATGATTAATTGAAATGCGTATAGTGTATTGGTTGAATTGTATGGGACTCATTGAAGTGACCAAACTATGTGCAAAAATATGCCAAGTGATTGAATATGTGCAAGTGTTGAGGAAATGAATTGTATACCAGTTGTAGGGATAATAGGAGTTGTGTAATGGTGCTTGGAAATATGTTTCGGGGGCTCTCTGGCAGGTAGATATGTCCAAATTACAAAGGAAAACTCTGGCGAAATTTTCTAAAAATAGGGGAGTTAGTGAAAAATTTGGGAGCTTGCATATCATTTTTTTTTCAAAACCAACTGATTTTCAAAATCCTCATTCGAGGACGAATGATCCTGGGGGGGGGGGGGGGTAGGAAGTGTAAGGCCCAAAAAATTTCGATAAGTAACCTAGGATTGCGTGGTGCCACGTAGGTTTATTATAATATTTTTATGTACTATTAACATGGTGTATATTAATTGGATTTGGTAAATATGTGTATAAGTCTTATGGTAAGTAATTTGGGGTCCAAGGAAAAACCTAAGTCTAAGAAAAATTGGAAAAGTTAATAATAGGCTAAAATTTCAAATGAGCTTGCACTAGTCCATATTTTGAACGAGCATATCTAAATATGTATAAGGTTTTATGTGATGAATAACCTATCAAATGAAAGGTCATCGAGTCTAGTTTCCAACGCTTCAAACCGTTTGTCATTTGGACATTCCTACGCAAAGTTATGATCAAATTACCAAAGGCTGGAAAATGCGATCCTGTGTCAAATTTGCGATCGCAAAACCTGTCGCATTTCTAACTTTGCGATCGCATTTCTGTCGCAAACTGGGCCAGTGTAGCCCGGTTTTGGGCGCCAATTTTGTGATGCATTATGCGGCCAGCATTCTTGTTTTGCGGTCCATTTTGCTATAGCAAACCCGACATCGGAGGGTTAATTTTCTTATTTTTATAACCCGACCCCATTTCACTATATAGGCTTTAGGGTTCATTTTGGGATCATTTATTACTGATTTTAGAGAGAGATGAGAGCATATAGAGAGAGAATGGAGAGGTCTAGCTTCATAATCATCCAAACCTTGCATCAACCTTCAAGAATCAAAGAGCCCAATCATAAGTTCTTCATCCAAGAGGTAAGATTCTATACATTAGGCTTTAATTTCGAGTTTGGGGTATGAGATGGGGTATTGAGGTATGATTCTTGGGTATAATACTATTATGTATACATGCATGTACAAATTAGGTATGTGGGAAGATTGTTTAACATAAATAATTAAAGATTTGGTTGGGGAATGAAGGAAAACTTTGAAAAAGAGATTTGAAATTAAGATGCTCAACTAGTATTTGATAAAATGCTCAAATGAGCTGAAATGATGAATACCTTTCTAATTTGTGTTCAATTTTGTTATGTCTCATAGTAGATTGGAATTGCTAGAATTTCTGAAACGTTGTAGTAACTTAAGGAAAGCCTAATCGAGGTATGTATGCTAACTTTAACCTTTGTAAAGTCCCCTTGTTTGGTGTACGAGTAATTGGTGTGTGTTTACTTATGTGGACTATGACTATTTGTGAATTCTTGTGATTAACGTGCCTTGAACGTTGTTGGTTAAGTCTTCCGATATGATGTGTAAGTAAATGGCAACAAACCAAATGTGTGTGTGTGAATGTGCTTGTGTGGTAAGAGCCGTGTAACAAATGATGGAGAGAAATCGTAATTGATGATTGAAACAACTGTGGTAATATCATATGTGGCTTGTCGTGGAAAATTATCGTTGTGACTTAAATTGTACATTGGGATATCGTATATGATTGAAATGGTATTGATGTTATGGAAATTCTTATGAATTGTGGTTGTTGTTCTTTGAGAATTGTTGTTGTTGTTCTTTGTGAATTGTTGTTGTTGTTGTTGTGTTGTTTGTAAATTGTGGGTTGGGGTGATAAGGGTGGCCGAGGTAATAAGGATGGAATATTGTGAAATGATATTCTGGATGGCCTGAAGCCATGTGATTGAAATGGGAACTATTGTTGTTGTGCGAAATGTGATTGTACGGTGGGATCGGGTTGCACGCCGCAACACAA